CTTTGCCGATACGCATTTTTTTGCCAATATCGGCGTCCCGATCCGATCCACGTATCGAATCGGGACAAGCCTAGTCACGACTGCTTGCTTGAGTGAGGTTTAACTTTTTCAATTTCACAAACAAGTTTGCATTTATGAGACAGTTTTGTTCACTTCTCAAGCTTAAACTGTCTGATTTACAAGTTTGCACTTTGTGTTTAATGTGACAGCCAAAAATAAATACATGAGTATTCTGAAACACAGTTGAACCACTTTCATTGTCGTAAAAACAGATCGAATCGAAATTAATCGATTTAGAACTGTATGAATCAAAATCGAATCGATTCAGGACTTTGGCTAAAATGCCCAGCCCTAGTGTTAAGTGTTAAGTTCGTTTGCTGTGCATTTATGTATTTGTATCGCATTTGCACCCCTCAATCACCATGAAGAACCACAGGCAGGTCATCAGTAAGACCCAAGACACAATTCTTATGGCTAGTCAATGACGCTACAAGCTTGAAAAAATGGCTTTTTGGTGAAAACAATTACTTCTTTATACTAATAAATGTATTTATTAGGCCTTAAAATGAAGGGTTGAACCTTTTACTGAAACTTAGAGCCTAATGTTCCACTTTCAGACACTTTGACTTTCACCCCACCTTCCAGGCTGAGAAGGAAGAAGGAGTCATCTCCTTTGATGAAGCTCCTGCTCATCAGTCGGCTGTGTGTGATGAAGGTGCTGGTCCCGTAGCCGGGGCCTCGGTAATAAGAGCCGCCGTCTGACGCGGTCACCTTAGAGCCCACCTTCCTGGGGTCGTCCCAGTAGAACTCAGTACCTGGAACCAACAGGAGACTCGCTGTCACTGCAGCTTGATGGTCATAGATCAGGTCTGCCCCCCCCTCAGCGCTCGCATACCGTCGGACGACATCTTGTTGGGGTCAGTGGTCACCATACGGTGCATGTTCATCTGCTGTCTGATGTCAGACTGCTGATCCATCAGGGCCATGGTTGCCTGTTGCCATGGACACGGCCACTTCAGGTTGTGATCATTGGGGCCTGAGGTCAGGTGGAGGTAGGTGGCCATGTAGCCGGGACGGCTGCTCTGACCGTTCAGGTACACGCCCAGCTGGAAAACAACACAGAGGTACGGAGATGAACGGCTTCACAGACGGGGAGAAAAAGTTTTCACATCTCTAAGAACAATTCGTTTTTTTCTAAACTGTATTTGTCGTCATTTCTTCCAGAAAATAAACCAAATGAATGGGCCACCATGTGGTACAAAAGACGTAAAGAAACGCAGCGATCGGCACAAAACGTCTCAAAAATCTAAACTACAAAGCTACTTTTCCACTGATTTAATAAAAAAGCTTTACTGTGTAAACATTTTAAACCACTATTAGACTTTCCATACAATAAAACAACAAACAGATGTTTATGTTTCTTCTTTTGAAATTTTTTTTATTAATTTGGCTGATCTGTAGAGCGGCTAGCGTTTGAAAAAAATGTTTTTTCTGTTTATAGTTTGACTAACATTTAAATCAATTTGGTGTTTAAATAGATATAAAACCACTAATGTAATTATTGGAAATTTTAGGGGAACTGCATCATTTAAGGGGGGGTTCAGCTCCCACAGTGATGATTTTGTCAGTATTACATAAATCCTGCAGTTCTTTGTGCCAAAGGACAATTTTCCAGACTTTTTTTTTTTTTTTTTACTTCCTGTCATCTTAGTTTTCCAGCACAAAGGGAAGCTTTGAAGTCCAAAGGTCAAAGCATCTTTTTGAAACTCTAAAGTCTTAAAAGTGTCTAAAACTGTCCTGCTTTCATTATCTGATTTATGATGTAAAAAACAGACCTGATAGGTGTAACTTTGTTAGAAATGTCTTCATCACCTTGGTTTTCCTTTTCCAACAACTTAATGTTTGATTTTGTTTTTTTCTTTCAACATTAAAAAATCAAAACCAAACAAAGAGCATGTCTACAATGGCCGGGTGTTCTGTCAGATGAGCATACCCCATCAGACCAGCATACCCATAGTTGATACGCATGCGCAAGACGTCAGATCAACATACGCTTCAAAAAACACCAAAAAGTAAGTAACTAAATTAAATTGACCCAGAATACTGCTTCGTATGGAAGCAAATCCTTACCATATTTCAAATGAAAAAGCATTTCCAGAAATGCCGTTTGCATAATCCTGTTTGCCAAATAATAAGTCAAATAATGCAGCCACATTCTTAAAATGAAAAAGCATTTCCAGAAATGCTTTTTCATTTTCAAATTTTACATTTCAAATTGAATTTTGGTATGTATTTGCTGGGGTGCATTTTGAAAAATAAATCTCAAATGTCTTTATCTTTTTCATTTTAATTAAGTAAAAGGATGAGCGGTGTTAAAGAAGAAAATGAAAATGCAAACGGGATTATTGATTACTAATTTCATTTATGAGTCAAACAATGCAGCCACATTCTTAAAATGAAAAAGCATTTCTGGAAATGCTTTTTCATTTGAAATATGGTAACGATTTGCTTCCATAGCTTCGAAGCCCTTACATCATTGTTTACCTCACTATGAACAATGAAGTGTAAGTCAACTTTTCTGATAATAAGCAGGTAAGTGAAACTGCAATAGAATGAGGTGATTTATATTTAACATAGGTAAAAAAAAATCTACTTCTTTATCTTATTCAAGGTGCATAATATCAAATTATTCTATTGTAAGGCCAAAAATGCCCATTCCACTGCAACAGCTAGTGGGTCAATTTAGGGTTAATTCATATATTTTAAGAAATTTTACTTTTATTTATATCCAATTTGCTGTGTTGTACATTAAAAGAAGATTGTAAAAAGATCCGACCAAAATGGTCAAACTAGAAAGTAATTACAGTTGACTGTATTTATTTTTTTGTTCTGTATTTTTTCAGCTGTAGATAACTCCAGCGGCCGGTCTTTAAGCCGGGAATAAACTGTACGATTTTTTTTGCCCTTTTCGGGCCGATTTTCCAGTTGTGCGCAGATTTTTTTGATCGGGCCAAGTTTCAGCCTCATCTTGTAGTATACGGGGGTAATCAGCCTCTCGCGACCACCTCCCGAACAGGAACCGTAAGGTCGGGGGGAAATCAAACATGTTTGA